GGGGACGGGGGGGGACGGACGGAGAGGGGAGAGGAGAGAGGAGAGAGGAGAGAGGAGGGAGGAGAGAGAAGGGAGAAGGGAGAAGGGAGAAGGGAGAAGGGAGAATTGGAAATCGGATTAAGTGGTCTCACCTTTCCCGGTCTTAGTTATTATGGACGCAGCCAGGACAACCTGCATGAATTAATTCCACCCCCCGCCCCCCACCCCCCCCCAAAAAAAAAACAGGGGACCAAAGCCGGACAGAGGAGAGAGAGAGAGAGAGGGGGGGGGGAGGGAGGCATCGAAACACGCGACAAGGGAGTCAGCAACCTCCCAACAAGGGAGAAAAATCGACATTCTCTTTAAGGGAAAAAACGTTAATGAGCTAAAAGAAGAAGAAGAAGAAGAAGAAGGGTAATGAGCTTTGTGGGAGGAGGGAATGGTAAGAAGAAGAAGAAGAAGAAGAAGAAGAAGAAGAAGAGTGTAGTGTAGTGCAGGAAGAAGAAGAGTGAAAACGAACACTCTTCTCGTACAAGCAACCAGAGACAAACACTTCACTTCCACATGTACTGTGTTCTCAATTCGAAACTTCATTGCAAACAGCATGAAACTTCATTGCAAACAGAATGAAACTTCATCGCAAACAGCATGAAACTTCATCGCAAATTCCTCGAAGGATTTTCGGGCAGGCTGCGCTCCTGGCACTCACTCCTCAGGGGGCTTCTCCCAAGATCAAGCTTGCGGCACCGCCTACTTCAGAGGAATTTGCGATGAAGAAGAAGGAGATGGTGATGAAGAAGGAGATGGTGATGAAGAAGAAGGAGATGGTGATAAAGAAGAAGCAGTGTGAAGGAGACGGTGATGAAGATGAAGAAGGAGGAAGGAGGAAGGAGGAAGGAGATGAAGAAGAAAATCCGTGACTATATATAGAGAGGAAGGAAGTCAGAGAGGAAGAAAGTCAAAGGAAGAAAGTCAGAGGAAGAAAAGAGGAAGAAAAGAGGGGAGAAAAGAGGGGAGAGAAGGAGGAGTGCTAAACTGGCTGTGGAAAGAAACGTTAGTTTTGCCAATGCAACACGCCATAAGAGCCCTAGCGTCTTCCCCCGAATTCAACGCACCGTCATGATGAATGTATACAAGCGATCTTTCCGGTCGGATACAGTCTTGATGAGCGGGTGCGTTGTGTTCAGGGGAAGACGGTAGAACAAAAATTCCTCCACAACGGATTCGAATGAGGAGACAGGCGAAATCATCACGTTCATTGAACTTCATTCATTTCGAGCACCCACATTAAAATTTAAGCAAAATAATAAAAAAAAGGACCGAGAATGAACAAGAAGCAGGAAGAAAAAAAGGAGAGAGAAAGAAAGGCTGAAAGCAGGAGAAGAAGAAGAAGAAGAAGAAGAAGACTGCCACAACGACGACGACGAAGAAGAAGGAGAAGAAGAAGAAGGAGATGGAGAAGAGGCTATGGAGGAGAAGAAGAAGAAGGAGATGGAGAAGAGGCTATGGAGGAGAAGAAGGAGAAGAAGGAGAAGGAGATGGAGAAGGAGAAGGAGAAGGAGAAGGAGGGGAAAAAAAGTGGAAAACGAAGAAGTTTTGGCCATTCTTCACTCGAACATGCCATTTCAAAGTTGCACTATACCAAAAAAAGGGGAAAAAAAAAAAAAAAAAAAAAGTCGCACTATACACATGCGCTATACAGCCTGTCTCGTCGGGACCTTCTCCCATACTGGAGAGTAACTCCATCCCTCTCCCATGTCTCGTTGTGAATTGCGGCCCTCTCTCTACCTCAGCGAGGGTTCTTCGGGCTGAGAGGGTCGTACCTAGCAGCAGCACACATGTAATCAAGGCCGCTCAGCGGACTAATAGAGAGGGCTACACGCGCGCGCGCGCGAGAGAGAGAGAGAGAGAGAGATGAAGAACAAGACAAAAAAAATACAAATAGAAATGCAAAAAACAAAAAAAAAGAACAAAAGAACAGAAATAAGAAAGGACAAGAAACGACGACCACGAGAAATCGTCGCAAACCCAAAAACACAAATAAAAAAGAAGAACGGCAAGGAGAAATGGACGGCGGAGGGAGGAGGGAGGAGTAAGAAGAGAAGAGAGAAGATAGAAGAGAGAAGAGACGGACGACGAGAAATGGAAAAGGAGATGGGAGAAAGGGGAGGAAGAGGAGGGAGGGGTAAACGAAGGAGAAGGGAGAGGAGGAGGAGAAGAAGGGAGATCAAAGAGGAGAAAGGGGAGGAGGGAGGAGAGGTGGTGATTACCATCGTGACAGGTACACGTGGCTTCCGCAGATTTGTTCAGTGAGATGACGATGATAATACTCGACAGGACGGACAAGTGGCGCCACGTGTCTCACTCCCTCTGCCGACAGAGGGAAGCCCAAGTCCCACGTTCCACCAAGTCCCAAGTTTCCCTCCCTCTGCCGACACGTGTCTCAACAGGGCTTCCCCGAAGATTCCCTCGAACACAACACAGGAGAGTGGCTGCAGCAAGCAGCAGCAGCAGAGGAGGAGGAGGAGGAGGAGGAGGAGCTGCAGTCCACTCCGCCCTGCTGGAGTCCAGTCATTCCCTCCCTCTCCCTGCCCAGCAGCAAATACCCGGTACCCGGCCCACTCTCTTCCCCTAGGTAGCTTGTACGGGGCAAGAAAGAAAGAGGCTTCTCTCGACCCCTTGCCCTTGCCCTTGCCCTTGCTACCCCGCGGCTAGGTCCCACTTGCACGAATTATCAGATACTGACCGTAGATAGCGAAGATCAACGGCCGACATCTCTCGCCTAATTTGCGCAAGTGGGACCTTGCTACCCCGGTAGCAGCTGCTGCTCTCTTCGCCCCCCCACCTCCTCACAGCAACGCGCAGGCGACGACACGCGGAGCCAAGTCCCCCCAAGTTCCCCCAATTCCCAGAAGTTCCGCCAAGGTATCAGGGCCAGATCCCAACTACCGTCTTCCCCATTTTTTGGCTGTATCTGGAGGGAAGTATAGGTTGTATACATTCATTTTTAGGGTGCGTTATGTTCGGGGGAAGAGGGTAGCCCCTATTGGTCATTTCTGACCGTTGATCTTCGTAATCGGGGGTGAAAAATGAATAATCCAGGGTAGTGGGATCTGACCCTCAAGCTCAACCAAGTCGCATTTTTTTTTTCCCTGCACGAAGGACGCGTCCGTCGAGCCCTTGCCCTTGCCCCCTTGCCCCCTTGCCCTTGCCCTTGCCCCTTTGCCCCCTTGCCCTTGCCCTTGCCCTTGCCCTTGCTACCCCGTAGCAGCGGCGCTCTCTCCGCCCCCCCCCCCGCACACAGCAACACTTGTGCGAGGACACACACACGGGCCCCAGTCCCAAGTCCCAAGTTCCACCAAGTCCCGAGTTCTGCAACCCTTGGGTAGCAACTAGATCGAGCCGAGTACTTTTCGAGTCGAGCATTTTTCTGGCCGGGCACCGCATGGCACACCGAACAGGGAAGTCAATGCATCTTCCGACAAACACGTGAAAGATTCGTCCATTTATGTATACGAGTACTGAAGAATGTACCAGCCAGCTTCTTCGGGGAAATGCACTCGTTTTTTTTCCGTTCAGACTGCCCTTTTTTTTTTTTTTTTTTTTTGGCGAGGGCCTAAGGTAGGCAAAGGTATGTAGGATCCAGCGGCCTAGCTCAGCTGGTTAAGGCACGCAAGTGGCATTCAGGAGGTCTTGGGTTCAATCCCCATTGGCCTCATGCACCTTCCTGGGCAAGCTTGGCGCCCGCCACCTAGAGATATGCCGTTGGTGTCCCCGAGTGGCATTGAGCAGAGCAGAGACTGCTGATGTTCATAGGGGGAGGGGACCGGAGGGGAGGCACAGTGACTGGCCCATCGAAGAAGCTCGGTCCTGATGCTACCGGCTGACCCCTGGCCGGTATCGCCCACCTGCTGTAGCAGGTATGGCACCTGCTGGTGGGTGCAGCTCCCGCATGTTCCCTCGTTGGAGGCTTGAGCACGGATGTGGCTGCTACGGGTTTCCCCGTAATACTATAATGACAATAAAAAAGGCCTGAAAGGGCGTCCTGTCCAGATTTGACAGGTAATTGAATTGGTTGGGCTTAAAGAATTAGCCTTTTATAGAAGAAAAAAAAAAAAAGGTATATAGGGATCCAGAGGCCTAACTCAGTTGGTAAGGCTCGCAAGTGGCATTCAGGAGGTCGTGGGTTCAATCCCCATTGGCCTCATGTACCTTCCTGGGCATGCTTGGCGCCCGCCACCTAGAGATAGACCATGGATCCCCCAATTGGCATTTAGCAGAGTCTGCTGATGTTCATAGGGGACGGGACCTGAGGGGAGGCACAGGGGTTGGTCCTGTTGGCATGGTCCCTGATGCTACCGGCTGTCACCTAGCCGGTATTGCCGACCTGCAGGTCAGGAGCAGCCCCCGCATGTTCTCTCGTGAACACAGTGCTGGCTGCTACGGGGTTCCCCGTATGCCTACAATTAGGAGTAGTGGTAGGTAGGTAGTGTGAAGTGAAATTGAGAGAAGAATATAGTTTTTTGAAAAAAATAAAAAAAGGTATGTAGGTAGTGGTGGGACTTGGTGGCTTTGTTCGCGATTCCTTTCCCCCCCCTCCCGTTTTTTTTTTTTTTTTTTTTTTTTTTTTCCCTTTTTTTCCGAGCCACTGTCATCCCCCCCGGCCTCGGCGAAATTTTGCAAATTTCGGCAACATCGTTCTAAGAGCCCACCCCATATCAGGGCCTCTCGGTAGTTCCACTACTCTCCATAAGCATAGATTTCGAATGCATCCGGGCACGCTCCCGTCCAGGTGCATTCAAAATGTTGGAGAATATTGAGTGGTGCTACTACTGTCTTCCCCCGAACAAAACGCATATGCGTTGTATATGAGTTTTCCGGAAAAAAATAATTGATTCGAGTAGAACATATATGCGTTGTATTCGAATATAAGTGTTGCCAAATTGAACGCATGCATGTTGTATTTGAAAGAACCCAACCTGTGCATTGTATTCGTTTACAACACACATAGTTATGTTCGGGGAAAGGCGGTAGACCGTAACTGGTGCCAGGCTGCCAGGTTTAAATGTTAATGGGCAGGTGGGGGGTTCGAATCCCAGACGTCGGAATAACTAGACGTAAAGTGAAGTCTGAAAAAAATAAATAGAGGAAAACTTATAAAAAAAAATCAATTGTTTATAAGATATGGTAACCACATTCTCGTCGAAAAACTTGTCCAATGTTGACATGACATGTGAGACAAGAACCGGAAAAAAAATAATAATAATAAATAAGTATGTGGACAAAAAATCATAAACCGACGAACCAAGGATAGAGGACCCCTGTTGGCTCTATCCCCTGCTGCGCTATAAAGGGCCAAGTCTCACTAGCGAGGGTTTGGTTTAGAATTCGCAGCCCTAAGGGTTGTGGTATAATGGGCTCGGGCGCCCGTGTGAAGGTGACACATTTTTGGGCGGGGGGCGACCAGTGCATAAAGGGGGAAGCGGGGGGAAGAATAGTCAGAGGAGCGGTCACTCGCGTTTTTACGAACGATCTACAACTATCATGTCGAGAACTGGTGGGGTAGCAAAATCATAGGACCCATCCTCCTTTTAATGTGGTCCACAAAAGGGGTATCACCAGGTCCAATTCCGCAATTTGCAGAAGGCAACTTTGACTTTTTTTTTGCTCAAAACATTTTCCATAAAATTCTGAATATTTGAGCATCCATTGATTAAATCGTATTTTTTTTAGGAGAAAAAACAAATCATTAAGAATGCGAAATAATCATCGTGCCAATTCGACATATTTTTTATTTTTACCACTCAATTCTTCAACTTATTTCTTTAATTCGTTATTCAAATTCAACTTTTATTATCTCCATATCAACACTCCTTAGCCTATATAGCGAACCCCTACAAGCATAACTACCTGTCGCTATCAGGGAATGCACGCTGCATCTTCCCCGACATAGTAGTAAGCAGAGAGTACAGTGAAGTCACCGATGGGGAGGGTTGACGAGTACAAAAACTGTGAATTTTTTTGGTAGTTGTGCCTCTCATGTATTCCCTCCTTTTTATCACGTAACAGCAGTGTCTAAGGCCAACAGTCTCCCCCACACCATACATTCCTCCCCCCTCTCACACCTATGATGGTTAAAGTCCCTACCAATACTTATCAATGCAAGCAAACCAACTATCTAAGTTGGTTGAACCAAGCGTGCGCTGAATATCATGGAGATTGAGCCATGACCTTTTGGATGTCAATTGCATGCCTAACCAACTGAGTTAGTTCACTTGCCCTTCTACTTCGCATAAAATTAGACCACCCCTACTTCTCAAGAGTTCGACAGAGCACGCGCTAGGATTCGCTCAAATGAACCAGTACATTGGTCAATTAATGAGAAACTATTTTTTGTGGCGTTGTAGATATAGCTTACACATGCACAACTAAACTTTTCGGAAATACTGACGATTAAATCATCAGTCCATCTACCTTTGTACTATAGATTGAAGTTGATAAGAAACACCGAGGCAAAATTTACACTAAACAGAGACGATGGAGGTCCGGTGCGATGGGGCTGGTGGACTCACGATTTGAAAAAAGTTTCATTGTATGACATTGCATGTTATATAGGATTGTGCGCCCCTACACAACACTCTACAGACTTTTCGATACTGTTACAATTGGAATGCACCTTGCCCATGAAGCGTTCAAATTCATATTAAGTGTTACATAGTGGAGTGAGGCTCGTGCAGTTTTTATGCCTTATCATTTTTCCATGAAAAACCCCTTGCTGGCTTAGACGGGTTAAATATTGTTGCACTCTTAAAACTAAAAAAAAAAAAAAGGTAACGGGATAACTCAGTTGATACAACTATGGACTATTGAATTGTAGACTTAACTTCGAATCCAACATCAGATTAGTTTCCAATCACCAAAGGCTCATTAACTTACTTTTTTTTTACCCTTCGTTAGGATCAAGGCATACTCAGACAATGATTTTTTTTACTAAGCTTTATACATAATTTCAGTCATATACATTCAGACCTTGCGGTAATTACAGTCATATATATTTAGGAGAGTGTTATTGTGAGTATGTCATCATCCTTTCCAAGAAAAAAGGAAAAAGAAAAAAAAAAACAATAGAAATGAGGGGGCATTGAAACCTTTGCCCTTGGTCACTGTCAATCTCAGTATTATCACTCTGAGTCTCGCATTATGTTTGAAATAAACCATTATCCTAGTGCCTTGACTTTGAAATTTGATGTTACCCCTATCATGATCAGGGTAAAGATTTCAACATGAACGAACTCAATGACACAAATCAGGACTTACCCCATAAATCAAAACGATAAAGTGAATTTGACATTCATCCATAGTAAGTATGATGGTCCTATGTGGTGTAAGGTAATCGAGAACTACCTCCAAACTCCAATTGCTACTTCCAAACAGACTTCTCATGTAATGTTTACCGCTATCCTTTACACTAAAACAAGTCACTGACTTATATTATGCTTATCTGTCTTGATAGGCCCAATGTTTCAGTCTTAAACCACCTATGCCTGAACGCAAAGATTTTTTCTTTTCGATTGTTGACTCTATCCCTGGTCGGGGATCTGATCAAC